ATCACCATTTCCTATTTCTCCTCATAGCTCGTGGTCTTTCTTGGGTCCTGGACATCATGAATGATATGTTGGAGAGTCTCTGGATTCTGCTGTGTTTCCCCTGGTGGCATTTAACTTGGCTGGACTCAAACTCTGCCCCTCCTGCAGAGTAGCAGCTGAAATCTCCACATAGTTTTTTCATCTTTGAACTGCCAGTTTTTCTCCAAGACCCCCATGACTCCCCCACACGTGTGGCTTCTAGCCAGTTGGCTAAAGATTTGGGTGGACCTTATAGTCGAATTTGGGGGTTCACCTGCTGTGTGGCTCTGTTTCTTCCCCCCACACACAACATTGTGAACTCTCTCCTCTGACACTTCAAGATGACCAGGCTGATGCTTTCCGCCACCCAAGCATTTGTGGACTGGGGTGTGCCACCAAGCAATAAGCCAGAGTCACCAACCAGTCTGACAGTGGTCTTTCAAGGGTGGACTCCCTGGCAGTGTCTGCCTGCTTTGGTCACCCCCCGGTGTCTTTAAATAGTTGCTTTAAAAAAAAAAATACTTTGCCCAGATTTTGTAATTGTTATCTGCAGGAGGGTTAGTCCAACCAATCTGCTCCACCATTACTGAAAGTCAGTGCTCTTTTGTATGCCTTTTTTTTTTCTTTTTTTTTGCGGTACACGGGCCTCTCACTGTTGTGGCCTCTTCCGTTGCAGAGCACAGGCTCCAGACGCGCAGGCTCAGCGGCCATGGCTCACGGGCCCAGCTGCTCCGCGGCATGTGGGATCCTCCCGGACCTGGGTACGAACCCGTGTCCCCTGCATCAGCAGGTGGACTCTCAACCATTGCGCCACCAGGGAAGCCCTGTATGCCTTTTAAAAAACATTTTTGGGGACTTCCCTGGTGGTCCAGTGGTTAAGACTTCCCCTTCCAACGCAGGGGGTATGGGTTTGATCCCTGGTCGGGGCTAAGATCCCACATGCCCCGCGGCCAAAAAACCGAAACATAAAACAGAAGCAACATTGTAACAAATCCAATAAAGACTTTAAAAATGGTCCACATCCAAAAAATCTTTTAAAAATACATATAAAAGCCTTTTTTTTTTTTCTGAGGTACGCGGGCCTCTCACTGTTGTGGTCTCTCCCTTTGCGGAGCACAGGCTCCGGACGCGCAGGCTCAGCGGCCATGGCTTACGGGCCCAGGCGCTCCGCGGCATGTGGGATCCTCCCGGACCGGGGCACGAACCCGTGTCCCCTGCATCGGCAGGCGGACTCTCAACCACTGCGCCACCAGGGAAGCCCTAAAAGCCTTTTTTAAAAAAAAAAAAAACCTAAACTTTGATGTGCTCAGAACCCTTGATTAATGGACCCAAATAAAACATTTTTTCAGGAAACTGGATCAGCTTTTGTGCAACCTACAACCTTGATTATCTTAGGAAGGATTCCACATTCTCCATAGATGGGCCTGTTGTGTGTTCATATATTAGAGCAGCCAGGCTGTCCCACACAGCGTCTGTCAGTCTGTCTGTCTGATCCTAGCGTCAAGGAATGAATCGGGGAGCAGAACAGTCGGTCTCAAAAGGTCATTACCTTTTCCAGAAGGGTCTTAGTTACCCCTGAAATAACCAGGTAGATCGTACATTTTCTGAAACCTTTATGAACCTACTTGTATTTCCTAGCCGTACTGCCTCTTGAAATAATAATCCTGTGTGTTATTATCTGTTCTATAAAGTGCTTTCATAGACTCTCACTATCTGAAATGCTGTGTGTAAATTTTTATAATTCAGTATCAGGTGCAATACTAAGGCGTTACTAAAGTGTTCATTCGTTTGATAAATATGTGTCAGCTGCCTGAGTTGGGCCTGGCACAGAAGCAGGACACCAAACCTTGCAGGATGCACCGGAGGGACCCCTGTGTGAGTTTCCTGGGGCTGCCATTCAAAGTACCACAGACTGGGTGGCTTGAGACAACAAAAAATTATCCTCTTACAGTTCTGGAGACTAGAAAGTGTCAAGAGGGCCGTGATCCCTCTAGGGGAGGATCTTCCAGCTCTGGTGGCCCCGGCAAGCCTCGGCATTCCTTGGCTTGTAGCTGCGTCACTCCAGTCTCTGCCTCCATTGTCACGTGGCCTTCTTCCTTGTGTGTCTTTTCTGTCTGTTACAAGAACACTGTCACTGGATTTAGGGCCCACCCTCATCCAGTATGATCTCACCTTAAGCCTTTGCTTGAGTACATCTGCAAAGACATTATTTCCAAATAAGGTCACGTTCTGAGATTCCACGTTGACATGAATTTGGGGGTCGGGGGGACACTATTCAACCCACCACAGCTCCCCAAAGTCATCTGTGCCCAAACTCCCATCCTAAGTTTTAAGGGCTACACCTGGCTTCTGGGGTTCCGGGATTCAATCAGTTTTCTTTTTGACTTGGCAAGCTTCGGGAAGACCACTGCTGGCATTTCAGACCAGTGTCTGATACTTGTGTTTGTCTTTAAATGTCAACAGCTCCACCCTCCACACAGTTTGAGTCGCCCTCCGAGGCTCCTCCAGTCCTGTCACGTTGGTGAGACGTGGCCACGAGAACTAGGCACTGGATCAAGGGCCTGTGGCCTCAGGCTTTGATTCCAGACAGTGTAGTTTTTCTCCCAACCTTCCAAAACCATGTCACTTTATTAAACCCAAATTATATGGACCGGGGACTTCCCTGGTGGTCCAGTGGTTAGGACCCCACACTTCCACTGCTTGGGGACCCAGGTTTGATCCCTGGTCAGGGACCTAAGATCCTGCATGCCGCGTGGTGCAGAAAAAAAAAAAAATTATATGGACCAGTGACCAGCAGCCATGGCCTATGGGCCAAACCTGGCCTGTCGCCTGTTTCTATAAATAAAGTTTTATTAGAACACAGCCAGGATCATTCGTTCACATGTCAGCCATTTTTGCTCCTGTGCTATGATCGCAAAGTCTAGTAGTTGTAACAGAGACCAGGTGGGCCCGAAAGTATCTGGTCCTTTACAGAAAAAGGTTGCTGACTCTGGTCTAAACGATACGCACTAAGAAGTGTGATAGACAGACAGTGCATGCTGGTCAGCAGTGTGTTAGCCTCACTTGCACTCTGGAAGGTGTGTTCTGGCCACGCTAAGCACAGCATGGGCCCACTGTCTATCCCAACACTCACAGGTTCTCCCTGTTTCCATAAGGCTTCAACTGTGGAACAAGGGACTGGTCTCAGCAAAGTCAGCCTGCTCACTTTCTCACCAGTGGATTCGTTTCATGGAGAGTTCTAATCCATTTCCTCCTAGCGCCGCTGAAGTTACCCGCTTCCTGGCTTCAGATGGGAGCAGAGTGGTGCAGAGTGGGCAAAGGACTGGTTTAAAATGGTCAGAGAAAACCATAAACAAGAGACCTCGATTAAGCAGGTTGCAGCAGGATAATTCCAAAGGTCAGTTCCATCAGGAAGGCAGAGAATGTTGGAGACCCAGGAAACGTTTGCACGATTAGAAATTCGCACTCTCCTCCTCTTTCTTTTCCTCCTCCTCTCCCTCTTCCTCCGAAAGAGTCGAAGAATGTAGGAGGCACCTGTCACCGCATGGCTCTGGGGACATCTGGTGGTGAGAACCAAGTCAAGGTCACGGGAAAGAGAAAAATGCCACAGGCACCGCCACGGTCCATCCAGTGGTTCTTGTGGCACCAAAGGCATTTGGGAGGGGGATGGGGGAGTCCTGGGAGAGTCAGTAAAGATGGGATTGAGGCAACACTCTCAGATCAAACACACACGCATCTTTCTGCTTCCCTTAGGCAAATTATTTTCATCTATTATCAGTTTATATTCTTTTAAAAAGGCTTTTAAAAAAATTCTCCACCCATTATTGGAGGTGGGGACTCTTGGGGCTGTAGAGAAACATATATCAAAGCTCTGGCCGTAGGTCCTGGGCACCGTGGTATGTGCCATGCTGTCCAGGCCTCCCTGGGGATCAGGAGCTGGGAGACTTCACTCCTGGGGGGATGTGCTCAGAGCCACAGCCAGGACGGGACAGGGATGGGGACAGGTGTGTGTGACCACAAAACCACCTCCTCTCTATGCAGTTTGCGGATTGAACTGCTTCTCCAAAGACTTAAGGTAGCCAGTGTTTATTAAAAAGTGAAGAGGGTTTGACTTTCAGCATTTTCCTGGAGTGACTATCGTCTGCCACTGCGTGCTGAGATTAAATGAATCTTGGTGGAGAATTTTTAAATTACCTTCTTGAAAGATATCTACACCTGGCTGCAGAGAAACGTACTCGTCTGCTTTCTCACGGGCAAAGGAGCAGAAGGCACTTTTTCTTATTGCTGAAATGCCTGAGGATTTTTCTCCAGCCCCAAGGGATGTGCCATTTCTTTCTCTGCTATCACCTTTTTTCTCCCTAAACCAGTGATTCTTAACCAGCGTTGAATCCATTCCGCCCCCCGCCCCCCCAGGGACACTGGGCAATGTCTGGCGACATCTGTGGTGGTCGCGACTGGGCGTGCTCCTGGCATCAAGTGGGTGGGGCCCGGGATGCCGCTCCGCCCCACACAGGGCCCTGGATGGTCCCGCAGAACGTGAATGACCTGCCCAGTGGCAGCAGTGCCGAGGGGGAGACCCTGCCCTAGGAGGATGCGCTTATAGTTTGGGGTGCAGTAGCTCTGCAGATGGCCGGCATCCCCCAGGAGCTTTTGGTTTTGTCGGTAAATGAGTAAAGAAGTCGTATGAGCCCGATCAGATCGGAAAGGGGGAGCTGTTGTCCCCTGCATTCAGGAATTCCTGCAGAGCTATTTTTTCGGGTTTATATTTGGACAAACATCCCCTGCCCCCTCCCTTCTCTCTTCTTATGGAACAGTTGTGCAACCTCTTCCCCGCTTCCCCTTCCTTACCTAGTCTGACCAGGATCCCTGCATTTGGACTTGGAAGACTGCAGGTCATTACCGCTCGCCTATCGTGTATGTTGCCTCTTTGGGCTTCGTGAAGACAGCCCTGCCCCACTCACTGTCTCTCCGCCTCTCTTTAGAACTGAGCATGCAGAATTCAGAGGGTGGATCGGATTCGCCGGCTTCCGTGGCTCTGTGTCCCTCGTCAGCAGCCCAGGCGCCTGTGGCCCAGCCTGTGCCAGCCTCGCCACAGGTAAGAGACCAGCCGCCTGCCGCTCAGGCCGCTCTGGGAAAACCAGCGCAGCCAGGGTGGGGATGCGTCCACCTTGGCTTTGAAAAACATTTGAATCAGCAGAGCGAGGAATCTCTATTTTTCTGAATTGACTTCTCAGCTCCATGGCTGCTGCTGTTGCAACGCACCCTCATTTTCCTTCCTCACCCCATGTTATTAGACTTTTTCACTGTTTGTTGTAAAATGGTCCCACCAAGGAATTGATGATCCAAACTCACAAAGAAAGCCCTTCCCCGACTTTGATTTAGTCCATTCTTATCTGCTAGTGGTAGTTTTCTTGTACATTGGAAATGACCCTTCTACACAGAAAGCCTTTCTATCCATAAGGCAAAAGAGAAGTGAGAATTCTTAGGATTTGGTTCATTAATTGAATCTAGTATTAGAATCGGTATATTCTTTAAAATTTGCAGAGAGAGAATTTTCACATTAAGGCTCTCCCAACTTCTAGATTTCTATAGTGGACTGAAATACACCATTAAGTAGACATAAACATAAAATTAGTGACATAAATCTACCAGAAACCGAAGGTAACAGAACAGACCAAAATCATAGACATGTGCAGATGTCCACTGTGGCCACGTGATCATCTATGATTTACAAATCTAAAAGTTAGGAGCACGACAGAAAGGATTGATTATGGCAAACAAACAAACAAACAAAAAAACCCCCAAAAAACGTAATTCAGCAAAAGCCAAAAGGCAAACATCAAAGCCGTTTATTCAGTTTAGAATGTGTAGTTGGACATGTTTAGCATTTATTTCTTGAAAGTGTGGCGGCCCCAGCATGGGTGCCAAGAGGGCGTGATCACTTGCAGTGTGGTCTAATTGATTGTTTCCTTGCCCACTGAGCCTGATGCGTGAGCCCTCCACCCCATGGAGCCCTCCGCCCTCTCACCAAACCCCCGTCTCAGGCGCCCCTGGGCCTGGGTGGCGGCTGCCTTCACTGTAGCGGCTGTAGGCTGACTGGTCCCAGGGTCCTGCCATGGCCACCGTGTACATCCCAGGCTCCAGGGCTCCAGTCCCTGATGGAGATGGATCCAGCCCCGCACCCCTGCCTCGATGGTTGTGTCCCCGCCCCCGCCGGGCACCTCTCTCGCCTGCAGTCTGCACTGCACTCCCTGAACAGTGAGCACCCAGTTCATCCCCAGTAAGGGGCGTTCTTGCTCCCACTGTCCCCATGATGCACTCTTCTTGCTTCCACTCTCAGCCCTGGCCATCCACCAGGACTTGCCACCACAGTGGGCGTGTTCTGCCACCAGCCCCACCAGGCTCCGAGCACTGGCAATGTAGCCAGTGCCGCTGAGGAACTGAATTCTGCAGTTCATTTAAATGGAAGTAAATTTCAGTGTCCACAGAGCTACACAGCTAGTAGCTTCCGTATTGGACAGCTCAGCTTTGGAGTGTGTGCGTGTATATCCTTAATATTCTTATTTATTTGAGGCGAAATTCACATGGCCCAAAATTCACCATTTTAAGGTGAACAATTCAGTGGCGTTGAAGACATTCACAGTGTTTTGCGACCTCCACCTCTCTCTAGTTCCAGAACATTTTCATCCCCCAAAGAAGAAACCCCGTCCCCATGAGCAGTCACCCTCCATCCCTCTCCCCCAGCCCCTGGCAACCACGAATGCACTCTCTGTCCCCGTGGATTTGCCTGTTCTGGACGCTTCGTGTAAATGGCCTTTTGTGTCTGGCTGCATGGCCTTTTGTGTCTGGCTTCTCTCACTGAGCGTTATGTTCTCAAGGTCCATTCACATTGTAGCGAGTGTCATTGCTTCTCTCCTTTTTCTGGCTGAGTGATGTTCCCATGTGGGTTTATCCATCCACCCTATTGATTTCTGTACCATCTGTGTTCTCTTTGCCTCTGGAGGACCGAGTGTATTGAATTCTTATTAGAACAAGTGGTGTTTATAAAGCCAAGCCCCGCAGAATCACCACAACTGGTGATACTTAGGGTCCAAGTGGGACGATCATAGACTCACAGTTGATGACTTCCAAAGCCCAGCCTTTACAGAAACAAAGCGCTCTATTTCCTCCCTCACCTTGAGGGTACGTTTTGATCCTTCATGTTCTCCTAGCTTTGTCCAACCAGTCCTCCAGGCCAAGTGACAAAGCCACACTGGGAAGATGGCTCAGGGGCCCAGAGAGGCAGTCTTGGAGTCCAGGAGGGGCCTGGACTGAGTCTGGGTTGTAGAACTTCTGATGCTGAGGCCGCAGGACATAGACCTGGCCTTGACCATTCTAGGCTTCCTTTTCCCTCGTGTGTAAAATGGGGACAGGTCCAGGGGATACTGAGAAACGATGGGGTGTGACCCAGCTCGTCCGGCGGAGGAGGTGGTGTGGACGACCAGCCTCGGCATCCAGCTCTCAGCCCATGTCACCTTGATGACTATCGACCCCAAGGAGGCAAAGCTGCTGGGTGTGTGTGTGTGTGCACGTGTGCTCGAGTCCCCACTGTGCCCGCCCAAGTCAGCCTGAGCCGCATGTGTGTGCGCCCACCTCTCCTTTCCTACCCGTCCCGCTACGTTTCCATAAAGCGACAGTGGGCGCAGTTGAGCTGTGACCTGTGTTTGTTTCCAGGACTAACCTCTGGCAAGCCTAAATGTCCTCTTTCCTTCCCTTTTAGAGGGTGTTGGTCCAGGCAGCAGGCTCGGCTCCGAAGGGGGCTCAGATGCAGCCCATCTCCCTCCCCAGAGTGCAGCAGGTGCCACAGCAGGTAACCACAGCACAGGTGACTGGGGACGAGGTTGGCACGTAGCACCTTGGAGCCCTGTCTGAACGATGATGCATGCTTTTCTGTTGTCGCTGTTCCTTTTCGTTTGATGTGTTCAGTTCCTTACCAAAAAGTTCTTTGGAAGCTGTGTTAAAAAAAAAAAAAAATCTTTTGCTGCAGATAGGTTGCATCAAGCGAAGAAAACTTATGATCTTTCATTCATTCAGATATTCAGCCTTTGGGGCACAGGCGAGCCCCTAGATAGAGCATGGGGTGCAGCGGTAGACACACAGGCAGATAGAGGAGGTTTCTGGATTGGAGGAGCACCGAGCCCCCTGGGGAGGCAAACTCATCTGCAGGCAAGTGCTGGACCCTCAGACGGGCACTTCTTGTGAAATTAAATGATTTGAGAAGAAAGCTTGAATGTGTGGGCTCACCAGCCAAATCGCAGCCCAGATCATCAGCTCAGACAGGCGGCGTGATCTGAGCAGGGGTTTGGCAGACCTTTTCTGGAAAAGGCCTAGCCGTACATTTTTCTTTTTTGGCTTTGCAGGCCAGATGGTCTCTGGCACAACCATGCAACACTCGCGAAAGTCACAAAGGAATGGTGTGGCTGTGTGCCAATAAAGCTTTATTTATAAGAACGTGCGGGCCGGATTTGACCCGAGGGCCAGAATTTGCCGACTCCTGCTCTGTAAGATGCTGAATTAAAATCCGTTCAGGCTCCTGCCTGAAAGGAACCAGGAGCATATGGAGATGGCGAGACCCCAGAGGACACACCTCTCCCTTCGAGGGGCTCCTGCCCAGAGTAGTAGGGTGTTTAGAGATGTTTGCCTGGTGCTGTGTGATTTTCGGGGTCCTAGGGGAGAAGCGAAGGCATGGGGGTGGGGGTGGGGGGCTAGCAGGGAACCAGCGGCCCTGCTTTAGCTCCTTGAGGGAGGGGCGACCACGACTCCTGTGATTCCAGAAGCTTGCCCTCCTCTGTGGGGTTGGGCCTGTGCCTGCTGTTTCTCCTGGGCCACCCAGACTTGGGGGCTGACCGCTGCATCTTACCCAGTCCGCTAAGACAAAGGGGGTTGTGTGTGTGCATGTGTCCCCCGGGTTGGGCTGTCCTCAGAGGTGGGAATCGGCCCTGTCCTGCTGCTGCATGAGAAGGCCTACAGAGAGGGCACGATGAGACTGGCCCTCGATTTTCTCACCCCCAAACAAGGTTGAATCAGGGACCCGCTAAGCCTCCCTCTGCGGTGGGGTCCCAAAGTTCTGCACACAGAGCTCTGGGCCTCCACCAGCAGGGCCCGAGTCCCTTGGGGGTCATCAGCTGAGGCTGTGAACTGACCAACGAGGGAGGGGTCTTCCCACCGGCCTCCTCCCTCCACCCCCCCGCCCCACTCCAGGTACAGCGCTCCTGCTAATTCTGCTCAGACCTTCAGAGTCTCTTCCAGCTTGGCTCCCAGGACCCCGACCCGTTGCTGGGGACGGCCTCCAGGGCCACCGAAAAGAGTGGCAGGGGGGCGGTGGAGCGTATGAGCAGCTTGAGCCCCCTCCCCTGCCAAGGGGCCGTGGGGGCATCGGGCGCTCCGAGGTCCGCATTCCGTCCACATCTCTGGCGTCTGCTGTCCAGCAAGACTGGCCCCTCTGCCCAGTGGCCAGCAGACCGCAGGCATCCCCCCAGCCCTGCTCTGCACCTTTGCTCTGAGCTGGGCTCCTCCCCGCACAGAATAGGGGCCCAGACCCGCCGCGGTTCCATTTCCGTTTGGGCTCATCCGGAATACGTGGCCTTGACGTGACTGTCTCCCCTGGTTTTTTTTAGAAGTGCCAGCTGGGGGCAGGACAACTGTGATGTGGTGCTAAGTGTTCACAAAAGGCAATAGGAGATATTTCTGCCTGAATAATCTGGAAGTCCTGAGCAAGGAAGACTCCGTGTAACACCAAGTATCTGCTGTTGTTTCAGGTCCAGCCCGTGCAGCACGTGTATCCCCCCCAGGTGCAGTACGTGGAAGGGGGGGAAGCCGTCTACACCAACGGAGCCTTGTACGTGGTGTCCTCCCCCTCCCCCGAAAGGGGCCTCACAGGGAACCGACTGTAGGCCACATCCCAACCTTCTGTCACGACGCCCACTGAGCTCCCTTGGGGATGTGTTTACACAGAATCCTTTCCCTTACCCTTCGGGTGATGTGTCCCAACTATTACAATGGCATAAGGACATCACAGCCTGGTGGAGATTTCAGAAATCACAGACTGTTATACTTTTACTTCTAGAAAAGGCAGTCTTTAAAAACAAACCCAAAAACCCAATCCACCTTCTAAGTCTGAAGATATCCTTTGCAATCCAGAAACCGTGTCCATCTCTGCTTTTTCATCCTGGCCTCTGTTAACCTCTGGCTTTTTCTGATGTTGGTAAAACTTGATCTTCCATTTGTCAAGGACGTCTAGGGTTTTCTGCCTTCAAACTCCGTGATGCTTGGGGCAGAAAATGATGCGTTTCCCAGAAGCTCACTGTGCTCGGGATGCGCGTCCTTTTGCTTGTTTCTGCCTCTGGTTTCCGCGACTCCCGTCCTGAGGGTGCGGGAGGGTTTGGTTGCGGTTAAAGAGATGTGATTGCTGGAGTCGTGGGCGCCCGCAGCACAACACTGAAGGCGTGACACACACTGACCCAGAGGAGCGCGTGTGAAGCCTGTGAGCCCCCAGCAGGCTCTGGGGGACCCTCCGCAGCAGCATCCTGGCTTGACTGCTCTGCGGTCAGACAGGACGTCCCCCGGGGGCCGGAGAGGCTGCCCTGTCCCCCAGAGGGGCCTTCCCTCAGCCACCCCTGAGGAAAAACCCCCACTGACCGCCTTTCGCTGCGGCCGGATGTACATCAACCGACATGGTTAATGATTTGATCCAGATGTTAAAGGATTTCAGACAAATGCTTGGAATCCCTTAGACATTCTTTTTATTATGCAATTATATTTTTAAAAAAAAACTTTCTGGTTTGAAAGAACTAGAGACTCCCAGGAAGTTGTGAAATTAGCCCAGAGTCCCTTGTACCTTTCACCCAGCCTCCGCACCCCCGGTGGTGACATCTTCTATGACTGCAGGATGGTATCAAAACCAGGGCACCACATCGGGCCATATTCAGCTTCACAGCCTTTAGGCGCACGTGTGCACACGAGTGTGTGTGTGTGTGTGTGTGTGTGTACAGCTCTACGTGGTCTTATCCCAGGAGTAGACCTCCAGTAACCAGGGTCAGGTCCAGCCCTGCTCCACCCACCAAGCCCCGCCCCACCCACCAAGCCCCGCCCCGGTCGAGTGCAATTTGCACGTGCGGTTTGCAAATGACCAGTTGCTGAGGGATCAGCTGCGATCCCGAATGCTTTCGGAGACCATGGCCGTAAACTCGCTGTATTGACAGCCGGGTCTGACTTAGCCACGTGCTCGGCGCCGTGGTTTCCGGCGTTTACGTGAAGCCTTCTCTCTCCCGCCAGGCGGACGGCGTATGCCTACAACCCCGAACCCCAGATGTACGCCCCCAGCAGCTCCGCGTCGTACTTCGAGGCCCCGGGCGGTGCCCAGGTGACCGTGGCAGGCTCCTCCCCGACGGCAGTCCCCGCCCACAGCATGGTGGGCATCACCATGGATGTCGGGGGCAGCCCCATCGTCTCCGGCGCGGGAGCCTACCTCATTCACGGGGGCATGGACGGCACCCGGCACTCCCTGGCGCACACATCCCGCTCATCACCCGCTACGGTATGTACGTCCCAGGCTCTCGGGGGCAGCAGGTTAGGCCCTGAATAGACTCCCGGCAGCAGCAGGGACGGTGAGTAGAAGGCAGCCGGGAGCACGGGCGGCGGAACCCCACTAGCCTACGACAAGCGCCCCCGCCTTTGAACCTCGGGTCGTCCCTTGGTAAGGACAGAGGGTAGATGGCTGTAGCCAGTGCTGGGAGCGTTGCAGACGAGGAGGCAGCTCAGTGCTGGGAGATGCTGCCGCCGCTGGTGGTCCACCATGACCGTCCTCATCGTCATCAGCCTCTCCCAGGCGGAGATCAACACCTCCCCGCGAAAACTGGGCTGAACCCAAGCAGAGCTATACTGGACTGGTACCCCACACCTCTGTCCAAAACGGTGGCTTACCTGCTTTAAAGATGTATCTGCTTTGAAAACTCTATTTCCCACATTTACTCTTATTTTTTAAATTAGCACAGAGTAAAGTGGACGGTGTGGGCTGCACAGACCCATGAGTTTTGACTCACGTACAGACTCGGGTATCTGTCCCCACATCAGTACACAGAATGGTTGCATAACCCCCAAAACTCCCTCGGGTGTTTCTTGGTAGTCACGACCTCCTCTCACCCTCAACCCCTGGCACCCGTGGGTCTGCTCTCCGTCACTGTACTTTTGTCTCTGTGGGGATGCCGTATAAAGGGGATCATCCAGGAGACTCCTTTTGTGACTGGCTTCTTTCACCCAGTGTGGAGCCTGGAGATCCCGTCCAGCTGTCCTGTGAGTCAGTGGTTCCTTCTTGTTGCTGAGTCATGTTCCGTGACCCTAACGGCTCGTTCCTCCATTCACCAGCTGCGGGGCCATTTGGGCTGTTTCCAGTTTTTTGTGATTGTGAATAAAACAGCTAGAAGGACTCTCATGTATAGACACATGTTTTCCTTTCTTTGGGGTCAGTCAATACCTACGAATGGGATTGCTGGCTCCTACAGTATGTTTAACTTTATCCGAAACCACCCGTGTTTACCCGGGGTGGGGGGAGGTACCATTTCGAGCTCCCCCAGCCAGGTGTGAGTTCCTCTCGTCCCACCTCGTCACCAGCATTTTTTGTTGTCGGGTGTTGTCAGCATCTCTCTTTTTAGCCATTCTCATCGGTGTGTGGTGTTATCTTACTGTGGTTGTCATTATGCATTTTCGTAATCGCTAACGATGGCCAGCACCTGGTCAGGGGCTTTGCCTTTCATGTATGTTCTTTGGTGATACGTCAGTTGAAGTTTGTTTATTTTTTAACTGTGTTGTTGGTTTTCTTACTGTTAGTTTTGAGAATTGTTTGTATATTCTGGATACAAGTCCCCTGCCGGATATGTGATTTGCAAATATTCTCTCCCAGTCTTTAAAGTGTTTTTTCATTCTCTTAAGAGTGTCTTTTGGGGACTTCCCTGGTGATCCAGTGGGTAAGACTCCACGCTTCTACTGCAGGGAGCCCAGGTTCAGCCCCTGGTTGGGGAACTAAGATCCCGCATGCTGTGCTCTGCGGCCAAAAATTAAAAAAAAAAAAAAAAATTTTTTTTTAAAGTGTCTTTTGCAGAGAAAAAAAAATTTTTCCCGATAATTTTGATCAAATCCAATTTAACAGTTTTTCTTTTTTGGAAAGATCGTGCTTTTGATGTCATGCCTGAGAACTCTTTGCCTGTCCCGAGGTCATGAACATATTTTCTTCTCTGTTTTCTTTGGAAAGTTTTATAGTTTTACATTTTACATTTAGCTCCGCTTCATTTTGAGCTAACTTTTGTATAAGACGTAAAGTTTATGTCGAGGTTCATTTTTATGCATATGAAACAACCAGTTGTTCCAGCATCATTTGTTAAAAACACTATCCTTTATCGGATTGCTTTTGCACATTTGTCAAAAATCAATTGGCCTGGGACTTCCCCGGTGGCGCAGTGGTTAAGAGTGCCTGCCAATGCAGGGGACACAGGTTCGATCCCTGGTCCGGGAAGATCCCACATGCTGTGGAGCAGCTAACCCCGTATGCCACAACTACTGAGCCTGCGCTCTAGAGCCCGTGAGCCACAACTTCTGAGCCCACATGCCACAGCTACTGAAGCCCACGCGCCTAGAGCCCGTGCTCCGCAACAAGAGAAGCCACTGCAATAAGAAGCCCGCACACCACAATGAAGAGTAGCCCCCGCTCGCCGCAACTAGAGAAAGCCCACGTGCAGCAATGAAGACCTAATGCAGACAAAAAAAATCAATTGGCCTATTTCAGAACAGTCTGTTCTGTTCCATTTATCTACGTGCCTGTCCCTTTACCAATACCACACTGTCTTAATTACGACAGCTTTAGTCAGTCTCAGAAATGGGTAGACTGGCTCCTCTCACTTTATTCTTCAGTATTGTATTGGCTATTTATATAAATTTAGAATTTTCTATATATATTTTAGATCAGTTTATCTATATTTCCAAAAAAAATCCTAGTGAGATTTTGATTAAACAGCTTTAAAGCTGTGTATCAGTTTGGGGAGAATTGACATCTTTACTATGTTGGGTCTTCCAATCCATGAACGTGGTGTGTTTTCTCCATTTATTTAGATCTTCTTTGATTTCTTTCATCAACATTTGGTCATTTTTAGCATGCAGATCCTGTACTTATTTTGTTATATTTATGCCTAAGTATTTTTTGGTTTTGGAGCTTTTTTTTTTTTTTGGCTATGTTGGGTCGTAGTTGCAGCATGCGGGCTCTTTGTTGCGGCGCGTGGGCTTCTTGTGGTGTGCGGGTGTTCTCTCTCTAGTTGTGGCGCGCAGGCTCCAGGGCGCGTGGGCTCTATCGTTTGCGGCATGCAGGCTCTAGTTGAGGCGCACAAGCTCAGTAGTTGTGGCGCACGGGCTTAGTTGCCCTGCGGCATGTGGGATCTTAGTTTCCTGACAAGGGATTGAACCCGCGTCCCCTGCATTGGAAGGCGGATTCTTTACCACTGGACCACCAGGGAAGACCTCTGGAGCTATTTTAAATGGTACTGATTTGAAATTTCAGTTTTCAGCTGTTCATTGCTAGTGTACAAAAGTATGGTTGATTTCTGGTTCTTGACCTTGCCTCCTGTGACCATGCTGAACTCAGTCTTTAGTTCTAAGAGTTTTTTGTGGTCTGCAAATAGGAACAGTTTTAGTTTTTTTCCAGTGTGGGTGACTTTTATTTCTTTTTCTCGCCTTATTGCACTGACTAGAACATCCAGTACGATGCTGTGTAAGAGTGGTGAGAGTGGACATCCTTGCCTTGTTCTCAGTCTTAGGGGAAAAGCTTCAGTCTTTCACCCCTAAGTGTAATGTTACCTGTATGTTTTTCACAAATGCTTTTTTTCAGGTTGAGGAAGTTTCCTTCTATTCCTAGTTTTCTGAGAGTCTTTATCATAATTGGATGTTGAGTTTTGCCAAACGCTTTTTTCTTAGATATGATCACGTGTTTTTTCTTCTTTAGACTATGAGTGTGATGGATTCTATTGATTGATTGTCAATTAAGAAATAACTCCCTGGGCTTCCCTGGTGGCGCAGTGGTTGAGAGTCCGCCTGCCGATGCAGGGGACGCGGGTTCGCGCCCCGGTCCGGGGGGATCCCACATGCCGCGGAGCGGCTGGGCCCGTGAGCCATGGCCACTGAGCCTGCGCGTCCGGAGCCTGTGCTCCGCAAAGGGAGAGACCACAACAGTGAGAGGCCCGCGTACCGCAAAAAAAAAACAAAAAAAACTTCCTATTTTTGTGTGGGCTTAATCTGAAATAGAAGATGATGTTCGAGCCTCATCCCTGTTCTCTTGGTCCTGATGTGTTTCCGGGTCACCCTGACATTAGAGGCCCTCTGAGCTTAGCTGTTCTCTCCCTTTCTATGTCCAGGGTGCTCCCCAGGACCTGGCTCTGAGGACAGGCATGGAGAGAAGTCATTTGCTGTCTAGAGCGGTGACTGTGGGGTGGTGCCTGCCACTCCATCCCAGGGGCACCAGCCTGTCCCTTGCCTCACTTGGGCCCTCCAGGGTCCTCAGCACAACCTCAGAGGATTGGCTGGCAGACCTGAGTGTAGAGCTGCCGTTGATCAGAAGCCTGCCTCACAGACTACATTAAGTTTCACGAATGTGACGTCTCCATATCAGCAAACTGCATCAACTCATAATAGTGAATAAGCTAGGGTCGCAGGTCACAGACCTCCTGAGATCACAGGTCATGATATTCTCTCCAGTCCACACTGCCTCGCTGGAAACAAACGTGCAGCTCAGACCCCGGGCCGCCTGGTTACTGTAGTCTGATGTCTGGGTTGCACTAGAAGAATCGAGTTTTTAAATCAGTTGGAAATCCATGACCAGGCTATGTTTTGGCACCCTGCCCACCCCCAGCCCCAAAAGCTCCAGGAGTTATCACCTTCGATGAGGATATGCCTCCAGACTCCCTCTGCTCTGTTGTGGTTCTTTGACTTGCTTTTGGTGTGGGGACATCTCACAAGGATCAGCAGAGATCCAACCAAGAGCCAGGAACAGGACCGGCCCTGAGGTTGCGAGAGAAATAACGATGGCTCCTGGATCCGGCATTTTCACAAAGTCTATCAGTTTTCTTATGTCAGAGTTGTGTTTCCAGGGACTTCAAGTTAATCCTGCAAACAGAGCACAAAGACCAGAGCAAATCGGCACCTACAGCCCCAGTGAGGGACTTCAGACTTTCAGTGACACATTTTCTTGAATCTCATTTCTGGTTAAAATTTCATCAGTATTGAAATCTTAGAAGTGAATTGCCCAAACAGTAAATTTTTGATAACTTTTCCTGTTGTGCTTTTTTTTTTTGACCCCACGGAGCAGAGATGCTAAGCTGAGAGGTATGCTCTTTGGGTTGTAACAAGGGGAGACTCTGGGGGCTCCGGGGCTGCATGAGGAAAAGCCCCCCTGCCACCATGCCCAAGCAGGCGGCCCCCCTGGGCCACGCAGTGGAGGCTGATGAAGACAAATCATCTATCCAATTTTGAAGATGATAAAAATACAGCATCCCTGTCCGT